AAAAACTAAAACTCGAGCAGGATGACCTAATCAAAGGGCTTAGATTCATCCACGTGTCAAAAACCCATTTAACCAAAGATCTCTTAAATACGACATACACATGCAGCTACCTCCTAGACAGAGATATAATACAGACTCATATCACTTTGTATTATTTGAGTGTTTTTATAAAACCATTTTTCCATCTTCCTCATCACCTTCCCAAAGAAGAAGAAGAGAAGAGAGGTTAATAATGATAGGCAGTGTCGAGCTGAATCTGAAGGAGACTGAGCTGTGTCTTGGTCTTCCCGGTGGAGATACGGTGGCTCCGGTAACCGGAAACAAAAGAGGGTTCTCAGAGACGGTTGATCTGAAGCTGAATCTTAACAATGAGCCTGAAAACAAGGAAGGGTCTACGACTCATGACGTCGTGACTTTTGATTCCAAGGAGAAGAGTTCTTGTCCCAAAGATCCAGCCAAGCCTCCTTCCAAGTAATTTTACTATTTTGTCCTTTATGATTTATTATCCAATTTTCCCTTAATTTTGACATCTTTATAAGAAAGATAAGCTTGATGGTCAGTTTGTTCCTCCAAGCGATATCTGTCAAGTTTTCAGCTGGAAACTCTAACAAACTTGAAAAAGGTGACTTCACAAAAAAAAAATTAAAAAATAAAAAATTCCACTAAAGATATGTCTATGGTGTTTTTCTCTTCTTAAATCGTCCAAAATCTAGATATTTTTTATTATGTTTATATTAATTAACCCAGATATAGTCTCATGCAAATAAAATTTATGTGAACATCACGTCAAAGCTAACTATATTTTATATCTTGTATAACGTAACCGTTTTTCCATTTTTCAATAAAATATAGGGCACAGGTTGTGGGATGGCCACCGGTGAGATCATACCGGAAGAACGTGATGGTTTCATGCCAAAAATCAAGTGGTGGCCCGGAGGCGGCGGCGTTTGTGAAGGTATCGATGGACGGAGCACCGTACTTGAGGAAAGTAGATTTGAGGATGTATAAAAGCTACGACGAGCTCTCTAATGCTTTGTCCAACATGTTCAGCTCTTTTACCATGGGTACGTTTTCATGTTTTATATATAAATATATGTAGATAATTCCATCCATGCATCTTTAATTATTAATTAGTTGTTACTATATAAAGAAACAAAATAAAAGAGGTTTAGTTAATTCTAATTTTCATGATGATAGATCAATCCCAAATAATTACCGCTATTGATCGTATACAGAAATTTCACATGATATTAGCCCGTTTATAATAGTTTATAAACTGTGAAACCTACGTATGTACTGAAAAAAAATATCTTTAATTAGCTTGAGAATATTTCATATGTTGCACCATCCACAGAGTTTTATTTAGGATATCAAGTTCTTACCACTAAGATATTTTTAGGAAAACATGGAGGAGAAGAAGGAATGATAGACTTCATGAATGAGAGGAAATTGATGGATTTAGTGAATAGTTGGGACTATGTTCCCTCTTATGAAGACAAAGACGGTGATTGGATGCTCGTCGGCGACGTTCCTTGGCCGTACGTCTTCTTCTTCTTCGTTATTAATTAATTACCATTTCATAATTATATAGCTCTATTTATTCATTTGATTTATACTACTATAATTAGTAACCACATAGTTTTAACTTGTTATTTATTAGAATGTTCGTTGATACATGCAAGCGTTTACGTCTCATGAAGGGATCTGATGCCATTGGGCTCGGTAAGTATTTTCTACCAATGCATATTATATTCACATTGATTAAATAGTTTACAAAGAGCTTAAAATTAAAGTTAAGTATAAATAATGCAAACCTCAACCGCATAATTTGGTCACCCAAATAATTTAATATGCTGTGTCTAGATCGTTTAAGATGATGTCTAATCAAACGCTTAAATCTTTTATTATTCTACGCACAATTATACTTATACCGTAAAGAACAAATTTCGGAAGAGAACTTATCTCTTAGATCTTTTTAAAACATTGATGTACATAATATTTGATTTTCTTTTGTCAAATGCAAAAAAGAAAGATAAAAAAATAAATGAATAAATTATGTACTCTTTTAACAGAATAAATACCGTGGTAATATTTTTTTTGTTTTTTTGATCAATACCGTGATAAATTTTCTTTGCTTATTAATTTTAAAAATATCGCAGCACCGAGGGCGATGGAGAAGTGCAAGAGCAGAGCTTGAAGTCAAAAAGGATAAGTGGTAATGATTATATATTTGATTAACACATTGATTGGTGTTAATTGTTTTTTTTTTCTTACGATGAAATACATTGTTCAGTTTCTTTTGATTGTCTGTGTTTTGATCTGGATTTGGTATGTAGATATAGTTTGTATGCTATTATGTGTAATGAACTTAAGTTAAATATTTGAGACATTTGTAACGGAAAATGTGTAATAATTTGAACATCTTATGTTTATTTATCTTTTTTTTTTTTTTTTTTTTGTTGCTAAAAATGTGTATATTCATATAAGGAATATGTGAATTTCATTCCACCATGGAAAATTTATCCTCACATAATTACAATCTCTTAGTGGTCAGTTATTTTCTGAAGGCAAAACAGTATTCTTTTGGTTCGTTCATGTCTTGAAACTAATTAAAGATCATAGCGATCAAGTATTTGACGATAAAATAAACTTTCCCCAAGCATAATTTCGAAGTCGGTATAATTAGAATGACAATATACATATGTATATCAGATCGAATATAATTACAAAAAAAAGGAAAAGATTCACTTTGTTGGTATATTGATTAATTTGTTGGTACTTAAAGTGATAATTGGCTTTGGTTGAAGGAAATAAAATAGAGAAAAAAAAGGACCCATAGGGAAGAGAGGGAGCAATGCCATGTGCATATTCATGGGTCTATTCATTTCATTACCTTTGTTTATCATTTCATTTCCCATTAAATTAATTAGGAATACTAACTTTTATACCAACAAAATTTATTAACAAGATTATCATAATTATACACAAATATGGAAAAAAAGAAAAACCACTAGAAAGTAGAAAATATGGAATTACGATGTATCATTTATCACTTTCAGAAATGAATTACACAAGTTTTTTACTGTAAAGAGATGTCACATGTATGATCTATGCCTTTTGGATTAATAAAATATAGGGCCTCTCTTAGCAGTTGTTAATTAATTTGATTTAACGTTAAAGATAAGTTTAAGAATAAAAAAAATGAAAACTGATAAATGGGGAAGCACATGGAGAAGATGTTGAATCCCAAACGAACAAATCGAAGTTTTATGAAAGTATCGTTTCAACGTACATGCATGCATATATATAGAGCATATGTCTACAAATGTATGTGTAAACGCAAACATTGTACAATTAGTTACGTTGAAATGTTTTAAATTTCAGTATCTTAATATTTGTCTTCATTTCTTGGATCAGGCAGAAGCATGTTCGATGTTTGATGGGGTCAATAATTAATTTGACAAGTTGATGCTCTAGAGGATTCTTCACCAAACTAAAATTATCGCATAATACACATTATTTAAGAATAGATGGAGCAACATATAAAACTATAAACAATATTTAATAGTTTAAACTATAAACGGGTTACTGACTCGACCCATCGGAACACATCGGTCGATTTCTTAGGGCTTAATACCAGAGGCGGAGCTAGAAAATTTTGTTATAGCGGTCAATTTTTTTTAATAAAAATAATATATTGTATAAAATTTATTATTAGTTTTGTCTGTAAATAATCTTCACTTAAGAAAAAAAAATCTGAAAATTAACCAAATTAATATTTACAATTTTTTTGTTATGGTCCACAAAGATTAACAAAAACAAAAAAAATTGTGGGGTTTTTTATAAATAATTATAATATTAGATTATTAGTTGAACTTTATTTTAAATAAGTCAAGGATTTTTAATTTTATTACATTAGAATTTGGTTTAAAATTCTAATGAACCAAACTTATTTGGCTGTTTTGTTGTTTTAATGACAATTTTTTTTATCCCATATAGTTAAATTAGTTTGATATAGGGGTCAAAAACTATAATGCATTAGGGTCATTATAATTACTCTTAATAAAATGTAGTAGAATTGTCAAAATTCATAGGGGTCAACTGACCCTCCCTAATTACACACGCTTCCGCCCATGCTTAATACACAGAATGGGCGTGGCTTTAGTAAGCATAGTTGTTATAATCATGAAGAAGCATATGCAATAATTTATAGGAGAAGTTCCATGGACCCTCTCCCTCCACAAAACGATGTGGAATCTGCATCCCTTCTTTTAAGTAACGCCAACTTATTTAGTTTCCTTTTTTCTTTTTTCATGGGTCGGTCCAAGTATTACAATATATGTCACTCGGCCCAACTCCGTAAATTTGAATCAAATTTCGACTTTTTTTTGAGATTTTAAGCGATTCTGTTTTTTTCTTTTTTTCTTTTTTTGGGTGTCCGAGTCTGTGGAGCTCTGTTTGATGTTCTGATTATTTTTATAAACGGTTCAATGGTTGGAGGTGGCTTTTCTCTTACGAAATTTTCTTATTATTCATGTGATCAGATGGAAATTTTCAACACCAAACATGAAGGAATGCGATATATCAGTTAGTTGCCTGACAATTTACTAGTGAAGATTTTTGTCCGGTAAAAGAGGTAGTGGCTACAAGTGTTTTGTCAAAACAATGGCGTTGTGTTGGAAGCTGGGTTTAAAGCTTGAGCTCTGATTGAGTTTGCTCTCAGGGACAATGACCATGTTCCAAGGTTCATAAAACCAGATTGGTGGAGATATTGAGTTTTGCTAGAAAAATTGTTGGTTATATCAAGGTTCATAAAACAACCAGAAGAGAACAGTTTTGGGAGAGAATACATGCAAAATCAGAGAGTAAAACCTATATAGGACTTGCAAAGACATGCAAAATCAGAGAGTAAATTAGACTGAACATAACATTGACAGGGGATTGATGGAGAACAAATTAGATAGAATGTGAAACTCAAAGCAGAAGCAACTTGTATGATAAAAATGTGAAGACACTGCAAAGCAAAACATTTCTCTCAACTTAATGTACATTTTACCTACTACTCTCTGGTTGGTGTTCATGGTTTAGTCACAGACACTGATTTTAGCTTTCATTGGTGTTAAGGAATACCACCAACGAACCGGTAGCATCAATCCTCTTCTTAAACCGATTTTTTCTTTCAAACATATTTTGTCATGAACAATGATGCTTAATGAGACACAAAGAAACAATGACAATTTACAACACAACAAAACCCTAAATCCCCAAATTCCATTATCAAATCAGAAGCAAATGTGTTGATCAGATTCCACTGTAATCACCACGAGCGCCGTCGGTAGAGAGCATCGGTCCATAAGGTGATTCCAGATCGTCACTCACAAGATCATCCGTTCCTCTTAACGCAGCGTGTAAGATCAAAACCAGAACACCAAATCCAACGGTGGTGAGAGCTCTAAGCCAGACTCCGGTGGTAACTAGCGACCCAATCGAAAGACCGATGAGAAGCACAGCCACGATGCCGTCGTCAATAGTGAATCCGAAGATCGTGAGCGGCTCCTCGCGAGCGAAATAGAGGAAGAACCAAGCTAAGCCAACGGCGATAAACGCCAGGATGGCGATGGGACGTGTGATTAGAGTTAGACCTAGGAGTATTGAGAGAATGATACTGTAGTTGATGCGGAAGTGAGTCAGGTTCTGAGTTACGCGAGTTGTTGCATCGGCGACGGAGGAAGGAACGCTGAAGGCGGAAAGATCGAGGAAATCGCCCCATGGACGAGCCGCGCCTGTAATCGATTGAGCTGTTTCCTTGATTCCGGTGATTACTTGATTTGCCATTGCGATTGGATCTCTCCTGGATTTCAGAAACCCTAGAAATTCTCAGGAACAAGAAGACCCTTTGTTAAAGAAAGAAGGAATACAAGTCAACACTGGCTTAGAGAGAGTTATAACTGAGAAAGGCCCAAATCCATATACTTAAAGCCCATTTAGCTATAACCTATAGTTTTATCTTTTATTCGCAACAGTTGAATCCATTTTTTAGTTAGTCAGGTTTGCAGTGTATACGATTTCTATTATTTGTTGTGTGATTTTAGAAGTATGAACTATGTTTTTCTTACTTAAACAAAAGGGTTGTCTTCAGAGCAACCTGTCCTATAACAAGGAAAACAACATTCTCAAAATTTCTATATAAGATGACTACATGCAAGTTCTGGGTGCGACTTCATTTCAATTTATCAAATCAAAAGAAATTAAACCATAACAAAACTCCAAAGTGCTTTGATTTAAGATCCTCTTGTAACATGATAATGAAAACGCAAGAGCTAGAGTTGAGAAAACATCCAAAAGTAATGTCATTATAAAGCTTCAAAAACACAAGAGATCCACATACTTAGATCCACATATAACGAACAAGATAACCCATTCCCAAATAGAAGCTTTTCACTTGAGGGGAATGAATCTGGAAGAGTGGGTAGCACCAACACCAGGCCTACCGTGCTTGACCGGCTTGTATGAGATAGAGAACTCAGCCAGGTAGTGACCAATCATCTCAGGCTTGATCTCGACTTGGTTGAAAGTCTTACCATTGTAAACTCCAATGATGCTTCCAATCATCTCAGGGACAATGACCATGTTCCTCAAGTGGGTTCTCACAGGCTCTGGCTTCTCACCTTGTGGTGCCTCCCTTTTCTGATAATCAACCAAATCGCAAGTTTGATATCAGACACTTCGTCAGAAACACAGAATGTAACACTCATAAGTTGAGAGATCAGGCTATTGTGCATAAATGATTCAGTAATTGATAAAGAAACTATTCACACTCAAACTCAGCATAAACATACGCAAGGCAATCCAGACAGAGGCTAATACAACAACAAGGTTATGAATCTTCCAGAATCTAAAATAAATCAATGTATGAAACAAGACAACGAATCTACCAATCACTTAAAACAATCCACATTTAGTTCATCAAAACCAAATCTTAAACAAACTTAGATAACACAAACATAAGAGACTTCCACTAAAATGGCTACAAAACCAGATTCAGGACAACAAAACCAAGTATTCAACCACGTGAACTTCTTAATCAGACTATTAGACTAGAGTATGATAACAAATAGGGAAATGAAATGATTACCGCTTTCCTCAGCTTCTTAATCAGAGCCATTGGCTTCCTCGTCAAACCTCTAGAGAACCTATGAACATTTTCAAACCAGTCAAAATGAAGTCAAACATCAATCGCAGAATCTAAAATGAGACTCGTCTAGGGTTTAACATACCTTCTGCGAATACGAGAAGAGAAGAGCTTGACAAGATCATCAGTAGACATGTCAAGAAGAGCATCGAGATCTACTCCTCTGAAGGCAAACTTCTTAAACGTCCTCTTCTTTGGCACTCCAGCTGCAGCAACCTCTGGTTCAACATCCGCCTACAGATTCACCATTTCTAGTTTAGCAATCGGAAAATGTAAATCAGAGAACAAGATTCAGAGGTTATTGAGACTGAAGAACTCACCATGATTGGATCTCAGGAAAAGGATAAAACCCTAAAACGGCTTAAGCTTGATAACTGTTGGCTGCTGAGGTCTTTGCAAGAGAAAAATAGAAGAATTTCGTTCGACTAAAATTATATATAGCGGCTACTTGGGAACCCTAAAATTAGAGTTCTTATTTTGCTATTAGGGTCTGTATATGTTCTTTGTTTCCAAATTCACCCTGCAATCTTTTGAATAAAATATTAAACCCTATGTAATACAAACAAAGTACTTGATTAAGGACCTTTTGATTAATGCTTTTCACTCAGAATCATAACATTATAATGTTTAAAAAAATTAAGAGATACGAGTAAAACATTAGACTGAGAAAAAAGAAAAAAAATATTTTCAACAAAATTGAGTTATTAACTTTTGATAATAAATATGTGTTTTTTAGAAAATATGACTTGAATTTGTTAGATTGGAGTTCTAGACGATAGAATCATATTGTAATATTATTTATCAAAATAGTTTTGGGTTGATTTGTGTGACTATGTGTCTCACAATTCGACTAGCTATATATCACTCACAATGAAAACTCAAAAAAAAAAAAAAACATTTTATATCATTTTATTAACTTATTTAGGCTAGTAGAAAAATACGACAAAGGACCTGACGGAAAACAAATAACAAATTCAGGAAGATAAGAATTTCAAGGGTCAAGTTCACAATATCATCAATTTTTTGGTTGGGCCTTTTCAATTCTCCTGACGGCATCGCTAAGTTCCTTCTGGACCTTGGGCCTCGATGGGACTAAAACGACATCATTCCAAACAGAACCGGGCTTGGATAATTGGCTCGGATCCGGGTAAAGCTCGTAAATGGATTCTGCATCCGGGTTAAGACTGCTGACCCGTTTTAGACATTCAAAATCCTCTGGATCCACCAGAAGCTTACTATTTCCGTCTTTCCACGCTATGAGCTGCTCCACCAACCAATTAAAAAAAAACACGTGTCAGTTTCTATCCGCAGCGTTATATATTAGATATTGACTTATGTACCCTTGGAGGACCACCAACAGCATTGGTGCAATAAAGCCTAGCGTTATCAACAAGCTCACAATACTTTGGGAATGCATTAGCGAATCTCTTGTGTGAATTCAATTGTGGTTTCACTCTCACTGCTCTCTTCACAATTAGAGCTCTCCTGTAATGGTTTTTTTTTTAAAACAAAATTTTGATTACAATTAGCATGATAACATCATCTAACAACGACTAATTAAAATTTTCGAAAATGTGATGAATTTTTTACCTTATGCCTCTTGCTACAGCGAGATAAGCGTCACAAACCACACCGACCAGCTCGATTCTGTAAGGTTTGAAGATTTTTTGTTTCCCGTTTTCTTTCGTTTCTTCTTCTTCTTCCCAATATTTTTCGGTTATTGTCCCATCTTCGGACACCTTGTAGCCTACGCCCATTCGATATTTTTGTTTGTGGACGTTTCTTGCCATTTCGATCATTTGTTCAACGAATGGCTCCCATGATAATGTCCCATCCATTATCACATCACGTCCATCATTCAATGCTGTTACTAGTAGGGACGATGCAGCATCGGTTGATGATTGATGGACCTAAATATATAAGGAAATAAGGCAGATAATTTAGAATATATATACACAATCGAGGACGTCTATAACTAAGAATCACATACCAATTCAGCAGTTTGAAGCATATCATCGTGATGACCTCTAGAGCTAAGAGCTCTATAAATAACATCCGTCTCCTTAAACGCATCCGCCTCTATCACCACCGCGTCTGCCTCTGCCTCCGACCAAAATGACCTACAAAATATTATTTTTGGTTATTTAAATTGGTTTGGAAACCATATATAACAGAAAATGCAAGCAAAAATAAGTTTTTTTTTTTACTCTTGGAAGATATCTTTGAGGACGGTGCTTTTTCCGGCACCCATTCCTCCGCCCATAAGGAGGAGGACGGGACTTCGTTTGCTGTGAGCCACCGGAGACATTACTTCCGTACAATGCGGCTCACCGCTTCCGCTGCCGATGGTTCTCATCTCTTTTACTAATGTCGAAATTACCCTTGTCACCTTCAAGTCTTTTGTCACTCTCTCAAACCGCTGTTTCCTACATTATTAACAAAGCCATATATTTTATTATTAAAACAAAAATCATTCGAGTTTACGACTTCCTTGAAATTGTCAACTTAATTAGTTCTACAATGTTTGTTACTAATTGTTATTGAATATTGATTATAATATATTAACAAGTTATAATTAGTTGGATTAATCATTACAACAGCAATGAAACTGTACGTAAAACTAAAAAGCAATGACGATTACGGATTACGCAATTTATATATTTAAATATATGCATAAATAAATTCGTGGATATTAAATATATAATTGATAATGTTACCAAAAAAATATATATATAATTGATAAATGTGATCATATAAAATTATATGGAACAATCATTCACCTTGTCGCTGCCATCACGAAATCTTTGAGTTTTGGTACTTTCTGATCCGATTCATCGCTTAAAGCCTGTCATTTTTGTGCATATATAGGATAATATTTATTATTGGAGATCGGATATGGTTATAGTAAATTGGCAACTCCACCTAGCAGACTACCAAATAAAAATACAACCATAGAAGAAAGTATGCAAAATATATTGAATTTCATTATGAACTAAAAGTAGTACCTGAGAGATGAGGCTGGAAGATTGGGTCCAATTGAAAGCAAAATAAGTGAGAATGCATCTCTCAAATTCTTCAAGGAGATGAACATAGAGAGAATCAGCCTCAGCTTCATTCGCCAAATACTCATACACATTCTCATCGTATCCCTTTGTTTTCAACAAATATCCATTTGCTAATTTGCAGAGTTGTGGGTATTCATTTGGATCCTCGAATCCTAGCTGCCTTGCTGCATTTTAACATATATACTTACACAAAATTGTTCCCCAAAAAAAATGCTTAGATAAAATAATGAAGTTTTACAAAGGGCTCACTTTTTTGTTTGTGGAAAAAGGTCTTTCTAGCATTTATGGATAAGAGTGGTACATGTATATAGTCCATTTTATAAAATCTCTTATCATCAAACATTAATGCTTACATACAATAAATTTTTTCCTTTTTATTTTTTGGATATGCTTTTCCGTAATGGGGTGGGGGGCGAAGAGTCCACGAAATAGTATACAATAATTATTTTTTTCGGGTCAGCGTGATATACTAAATCTATTTTCTATTATTATAATCCTTTGGTCGATCTTGATTATTTTGTTTACTTGAAATTATACCAATCTTTTTGTTTGTTAATTAAATATAGCCAAGTTCATTCTTGAAATGGATCGGAGATCGGAAGATGTAAGTATACTTACCAACATAGTGGGAGAATCTCTCGAGGTTTGATCGTCGACCTGAATCTTTCCTCTCAATCAAAGGGGAGATTTTCACATCTTTATACCCCATGGAAGCACCTTGATCAAGTTTCCGGCGTCGAAGGAATGATTCTCCGGCGAAAGCAGCTGCTGCGGCGGCGGCAAGACCACCAAGAGAAGCTAGGAGGAGATGGGTGAGATCAACTGATTTACAACCACCATTAGAGACATCTCTTGTTCCTTCTATAGCAAACAAATCAATAAGAGAGAGAAATAAAAAGAAGAATATTATTTATTATTTCAAATACGTTTGTTCTTTGTTTAGTGTGGTATAAAGAAGAGAGATGCAGAGAGGAAGAGCATTACCTCCTCAGGGTTTCACCATTCTTTGGTTTGAAACGTCTTTTTGGGAAGAAGATTGAGACTGTGAGGGAAACCACTAACTCAACACAACATTGATTTCTACTTTTGATTTTTCTCTTCTCATCTAATGTGTTTGACTTTTTTCTTGAAGAATTACTCTTACAAATGCATCTAGTGGGTTTTATTTAATGTTATAATATAGTACTAGCTAACAGTATATATTACTATTAGATGAAATTGATATCATCCGTCACGTAGTTATTAATGATGACTGACTTATTGCGGATGGTATGGTTTTTGGGCAAAATTGATACTAGTATACTACTCCTTTTATTTCAAAATATAAGGCGTTTTGGAGAAATTTGTTTGTTTTAAAATATAAATCGTTTTCAAGTTTCTATACAAATTATATATAACTTTAATATTTTATGATTATTTTTATTATGCTGTTTTTTTTTATGATTGGCTGAACTTTTAAAAAATAGATTTTCTTAATCGACGTGTTTTTAGCTACAACGCCTTATATTTTAAAACGGAAGGAATAGTTGCTAAGTATAATTATATTTTGAACTAGAATATTTTGAAATTTGATTTAGGCCATGAATGTTTGCATGTTTTTAAATGGTTTTTGGATTATAGTTTTTGGTTTATGGATTTTGGATTTTGGTTTATGGGTTTTAGATTTTGTATTAGAAAAAAAAATAAAAATTGAAAAATGGAAAAAAAAAGTCAAATCACGTTAAAAGTGAAAACCCCACAAAACATAGATTTTAGATTTTCTTTCAAAATTGACAAAAACTATCAAAATCTAGATTCCCTATTTTTTAGAAAATCTATTTTCTTCATAATTTTGATTGGCTATAAAGTAGATTTTTGTAAAAACTAAAACTAAAAACAAATTTAAAATCTACAACCATTCAAGGCCTTAGTATATAACTTGAAAGATGTATAATTGTATAAGCAACATGTGTTTATATTAACATTAAATTTGCCAATAATTACGGATCAAGATTTTAAACGTAGAGGAAATGTCTCTTGATTTCATTGTTTATCTATGCATATCATCGCCGTCTATAGATTAGTAACATAAACTAACAAAATAATATCAAAAGTGTCAATCAACAAACATATCTCAACTAATACAAAACTTAATTATCTATCCCACCATAACCTGCGTCATTTTTATTAGGGGCTTTTGCAAAAATACCACTTTTTCAATGCCACTTTTCAAAAATACCCCTTTTTAAAAACTTTATAAAAAATGCTCTTAAAAATATAAGATTTACCCAAATATGTATGTAATATTATTAAAACATATACAAATTACATTTCTATGTATCTAAAATCTTATAAATACTTTATAAATACCTTATAAATGCATTTTAAATACCTTTTAAAACCTTTAAAATATCTTGTAAAACCTTTGAAAAACCTTAAAAATCCTTAAAAATAACTTATAAAACCTTTAAAAACACCTTATAAAACCTTATAAATACTTGGATCGAGTCTTCAAGTAGTAGTTACAATCCATAAGTACCTTATACACCTAATAAAACTTTATAAAAATTTCAGATTTAAAAAGGGGCATTTTTGAAAATGGACATCTAAAAGGGGCATTTTTGAAAATGGGCACACCAAAAGAGATATTTTTAACAATTTCCCTTTTTATTATTCTATTCAATTTTATCGTTACTTTTTCATTTATATGACTTTACTTTGAACCAAAGGTCATTTGTCGTGTAACTCGTGTAGCTCTGATTTGATAAAAGCTAATAAATATAACTATTGTTTTTTTTTTTGGTTTTGGTTTATCTACTTTCATAGCAAAAAATTCACTACAGGATGCTATATTTGTTCCTTTTGTCGATGATTTTCAAGAATCGATTTAGTATATTAGCAAAATTTATGCTTAATTTTAAGATAACTAGATTATTATATTCACTCATTACATCATTATTCAGATAAAAAATATATTTCATCGGCTCCTTGTTAAATCCATCAAACATACCACTAAAATAAAAGATAACTAGGATCGGACCCGCGGTCCACCGCGGGAGAATATTAGTTTACATATGTTGCGTTTAATATTGTGTGTGTTTTTTAGTAGAACGAATCGTGTAGTATACTTAAAAATATGAGAAATTGTTAAAAATGCCCCTTTTTCAATACCCCTTTTCAAAAATGCCCCTTTTGAGAGTCCATTTTTAAGTTTACCCTCTTTTAATTTTTAGTGACCATTTTACCTTTATTTGAAACAAAATTAGGTCCACAAAATACAAAATATTTTTTGGCGGGAAAAGTGATCCCGCAATTTTCCCGCCAAAACACTTGTAAAAACCTTTAAAATACCTTGTAAAATTTTCCCGTAAAAATTTTTCCCGCCAAAATTTTTTTTTTGCGGGAAAAGTGATTCCGCAATTTTTTTGGCGGGAAAAATTTACAAGGTATTTTAAAGGTTTTACGGAGTATTTACAAGTGTTTTGTAAGGTTTTACAATATATTTTAAAAGGTTTTACAAGGTACTTATAAGGTTTTATAAGGTATTTCATGATTCACAAAATTTAATAAATACTTATCATCTTGTTGAATAATTCTAAAATCATATTCAAGAAATCTTTATAAATTGAAAATTAAACTTCTTTGGTAAGCTGTAGGTATGAAAATATCATAATTTCGATTTAATCTAATTAAATTAAAATTAGTTACATGGATTTCATATCTATTAATTTACACGACCAAAATAAAAATATCTATTTAATTTACACAACCAAAATAAAAATATCAATTTAATTTATAAAACAGATGGGTTATTTATGATAAATTTTCTAGAAATCTTTAGAATCAAGTAAAATATCTTTCAATTAATGATAATTGGCTAAAATAAGCGAAATTAATGACAAAAACGTTGATTGTTATAGAATTAGTCCAAAAAATATATGAACAAATTTATTATACGTAATTAATGTATAATATTGTTTGGAATATGCTTTTATTATTAGTTACCATAAGTACAATCAGATTTTATTTGATTTCCATAAATATTTGATTTTATTTTGATTTTTCATTATTAATTCGAATTTATATTCCAAAAAAATTTCAAACATCCGATTTCAGAATTTCGGATCAATTTTCTGATTTTAGTCTGACCCATTTTCATTTGTACTTTTTTCTTTTAATAGTATAAAGATTTTTAAAAGAATGATTAAATTTAGTACGACGACCCAATAACCTGTCTCCACTAACCGTCTCAAGTACTGTCGAGTGTCGAAGCCCTTTGGGCACTTGCAAAGCCCAACAATTGCTCACCCCACTAGCCGTTATTACGTCAACGAATTTTTTCAACGTTCGAAAAACAATATTTCCTTTTTTCAGGGGTATTTAGGAAATTTCGTCTCTCTCAGCCGAGTTTTCCTTTTTTCCGAGGGGTATTTACGTAATTTTGATTCTCTCACGGCAAAGTTTTCCTTTTTTCTTTCTCCCGTAACAAAGCTTTCCCTTTTTTTAGGTTTCCATTCGAAGTTCACAATATTGTTTATAAATATAATTCGAGAGTCAGAGATTCATTCGATAGCACTTTCCTCTCTTTTCTCATATCAGAAAAACGTTCTTTGTTCTCTCTTCTCTTTCTTCTACCCAGATCAGTCGTGAATTTTATTCTACTCTTTCATTAAGTTTACTTTGTTTGATTCATGAAACAAAACAAATAATCGATTTTCGCTTTTTGGGGATGACGAATTGACGATCAGAAGCAAAAGTACAGGTTTTCGTAAAGAGATCAAACCAACTTGCACCGACTTCAACACTCTGTTCGATCAAAAGGTATTTTGCTTCCTTATCTGTTTCTGTATTTTTTTTCTATATCTCGTTGGATTTTTTGACCAAATAAAATCATCTATAAATACCTAATTCTTCTAGTCGATCGCAAAACAGAGACTTCTCAGGTTTCAAAGTGGTTTTCTTCTAATCAAATTTGAATTTTGGTCTTATATTAATTCCCTCTAATCCTAATCATATATTCCTCAAAGTTTTTGATTTTTGTTCGAGATTCCTAATCAATTCTTTCTTCTTTGTTACGTAGATGTTGTTGCAACTTCGGAGCTTTTCATCTATGGTCTCGTTGACGTGAGAGACACGGATTGCCCCACACAATTAGCAATCATTGAAACTCATTGGACACTACAAAGCCCAACAAAGAAAGAATTTCAGCCCAATACAAAGCTTGTAAATGCATCCCATTCGGCCAGGTCAATTTTCATCCCTATCTTGTTTATATTCTTGTTAATTACAAAAAAGGTTTTAAACTTTTGATTTTTTAAACCAAAATATAATAAACCGTTTAACATTTAAATTTCACTAAAACTCTTTTAATTTCATTAAAACTTAAAATAAATTTAACACTTCTTAAAATAATGTTTTAAAACTAAAATCATGTTAATTTCACTAATTTTTTTTTAAAATTAGTTTAAGTGTTAAATTTTAAACACGTCGGAAACTAACCGCGCCTAGGCATCCTGTCCTTAGTTGGTCCGTAAGCTTTGGTGTTCGAAGTTCGGCATGTTTTCACGTGATATAGATTTAACACTTAAACTCATTTTTAAAAATAATAGTGATTTTGACTAAAATTTAAAACAATTTAACACTTAAAACTTTATGAAAATAACGTTTTTCAAACTAAAACCATGTTAATTTCACTAAAAAAGTTTAGAAATTAGTTTAAGTGTTAAATTTAAAACACATCGAAAACTAACTGCGCCTAGGCATCCTGTCCTTAGTTGGTCCGTAAGCTTTGGTGTTCGAAGTTCGGCATGTTTTCACGTGATATAGATTTAACACTTAAACTCATTTTTTAAAAATAATAGTGATTTTGACTAAAATTTAAAACAATTTAACACTTAAACTTTAAGAAAATAACATTTTTTAAACTAAAACCATGTTAATTTCACTAAATTTTTCTAAAAATTAGTTTAAATGTTAAACTTTAAACACGTCGGAAACTAACCGCGCCTAGGCATCCTGACCTTAGCTGGTCCGTAAGCTTTGGTGTTCGAAGTTTGGCATATTTTCACGTTATATAGATTTAACACTTAAACTCATTTTTTAAAATAATAGTGATTTTGATTAAAATTTAAAACAAATTCAACACTTAAACATTAAGAAATAACATTTTAAAACTAAAACCATGTCAATTTCACTAAATTTTTTTAAAAATCAGTTCAAGTGTTAAATTTTAAACACGTCGGAAACTAACCGCGCCTAGGCATCCTGTCCTTAGTTGGTCCGTAAGCTTTGGTGTTCGAAGTTCGGCATGTTTTCACGTGATATAGATTTAACACTTAAACTCATTTTTAAAAATAATAGTGATTTTGACTAAAATTTAAAACAATTTAACACTTAAACTTTATGAAAATAACGTTTTTCAAACTAAAACCATGTTAATTTCACTAAAAAAATTTAGAAATTAGTTTAAGTGTTAAATTTAAAACACATCGAAAACTAACTGCGCCTAGGCATCCTGTCCTTAGTTGGTCCGTAAGCTTTGGTGTTCGAAGTTCGGCATGTTTTCACGTGATATAGATTTAACACTTAAACTCATTTTTTAAAAATAATAGTGATTTTGACTAAAATTTAAAACAATTTAACACTTAAACTTTAAGATAATAACGTTTTTTAAACTAAAACCATGTTAATTTCACTAAATTTTTCTAAAAATTAGTTTAAGTGTTAAATTTTAAACACGTCGGAAACTAACCGCGCCTAGGCATCCTGACCTTAGCTGGTCCGTAAGCTTTGGTGTTCGAAGTTTGGCATATTTTCACGTTATATAGATTTAACACTTAAACTCATTTTTTAAAATAATAGTGATTTTGATTAAAATTTAAAACAAATTCAACACTTAAACATTAAGAAATAACATTTTAAAACTAAAACCATGTCAATTTCACTAAATTTTTTTAAAAATCAGTTCAAGTGTTAAATTTTAAACACGTCGAAAACTAACCGCGCCTAGGCATCCTGTCCTTAGTTGGTCCGTAAGCGTTGGTGTTCGAAGTTCGGCATGTTTTCACGTGACATAGATTTAACACTTAAACTCATTTTTTAAAAATAATAGTGATTTTGAGTAAAATTTAAAACAAATTTAACATTTAAACTTTAAGAAAATAACGTTTTTTAAAACTAAAACTATGTTAATTTCACTAAATTTTTTTAAAAAATTAGTTAAGTGTTAAATTTTAAACACATCGGAAACTAACCGCGCCTAGGATTTAACACTTAAACTCAATTTTTTAAAACAATAGTGATTTTGATTAAAATTTAAAACAAATTTAATACTTAAAAAAAATAACATTTTTTAAACTAAAAACATGTTAATTTCACTAAAATTTTTATAAACTAGTTTAAGTGTTAAATTTTAAACAAGTTGGAAACTCACCGCGTCTAGGCATTCTGTCTTTAGTTGGTCCGTAAGTTTTGGTGTTTGAAGTTCGGCATGTTTTCACGTTATATAGATTTAACACTTAAACTCATTTTTAAAAAATAATAGTGATTTTGACTAAAAATAAAACAAATTCAACACTTAAATTTTAAGAAATAACATTTTAAAACTAAAACCATGTCAATTTCACTAAATTTTAAAAATTAGTTTAAGTGTTAAATTTTAAACACGTCATCAAATAGTAATCGCGCCTAGACATCATGTCCTTAGTTGGTCCGTAAGCTTTGGTGTTCGAAGTTTGACATGTTTTTACGTGATATAGATTTAACACTTAAAACTCATTTTTAAAAAGTAAAAGTGATTTTGACTAAAATTTAAAACAAATTTAACACTTCAACTTTATGAAAATAACGTTTTTCAAACTAAAACCATGTTAATTTCACTAAAAAAAATTAGAAATTAGTTTAAGTGTTAAATTTAAAACACATAGAAAACTAACTGCGCCTAGGCATCCTGTCCTTAGTTGGTCCGTAAGCTTTGGTGTTCGAAGTTCGGCGTGTTTTCACGTGATATAGATTTAACACTTAAACTCATTTTTAAAAAAATAATTGTGATTTTGACTAAAATTTTAAAACCATGTTAATTTCACTAATTTTTTTTTTTTTTTTTTTGACAGCAAAATAAATTCATCCATTTAAGCTAGGAACGGACGGTTTTCTACAGGAGAAAACCAGTCCGGAGTTGAGGAGCTTACATAACAAAGATAGAATCACGTGCCCTTGCCTTCTTAGCAAGACAGTCGGCACGGACATTGTTTAAACGTGGAATAAAATCTAAGGAAAAATGAGGGAAACCAAGTTTTAAAGCGTTGAAATCTTCTAACTTTTGTCCAATAGCTGGGTCAGCTCCTTGCAATCTGTCTCAAAGGCAACATTAAAAATAGATAATGATGTGAGGGATCTCAATGCCCAGAGAAGTGCTTCAAACTCTGTGTGAAGAGGAGATAAACACTGTCGAAAACACTTGAGCCCAAGATTAATAAGCTGAGAGTCTGAGATAAGAATCCATCCAATTCCACATAAGGAGTCTCCGTCTGTCCAAGAACCATCAACTTGGCAAGTCAAAAGATCTGAATCAGTGGATCGCGAACCTGGGTCTATGAGGGGCGGTTGAGAATCAATGAACGACTCTCTGGCTCTCGCGATGCGAAAAGATTCTGCTTCATCGCAGGCATGTTTCATCCAATAAATAAATCTCACTAAAAAAATTTAAAAATTAGTTTATGTTTTACATTTTAAACACGTCGGAAACTAATTTATAAAACTCGGGGAAGTGCAATTAAACTAATTTATAAAACTAAAACTCAAAAAAATTAGTTCAACATGTTTTCGACGTATTTAAATTTAGCACTTAGTTATGTTTTAAACGGTTTTCAAAAATAATGTTTTAATAAACTGTTTTGATTTTACCTAATTTTTTTGGTTTAAAAATATAACCAAGTATTAAATTTAAATGCGTCGAAAACTAACCGGACTTTTCATTTTGTCCTTTGGTCCGTAAGTCTTGAGGTGTCATAAGTTCAACATGTTTTCATGTAATCAAAATTTAACACTTAGTTATATTTTAAACGGTGTTAAAAAATAATGTTTTAACTAAATTGTTTTGATTTTTAACTGAATTTGTTTTTGAAATTTACAAAATGTTTTTTTTAAACATAACCAAGTGTTAAATTTAAATGCGTTGAAAACTATCCGAACTTAGCATCCCGTCATTTTGTCCGTAAGTCTTGAAGTGTAATAAGTTTAACATGTTTTCACAAATGAAATTTAACACTTAGTTATGTTTTAAACGGTTTTCAAAAATAATGTTTTAACTAAATTATTTTGATTTTTAACAAAAAAAAAAACATAACTAAGTGTTAAATTTAAATGCGTCGAAAATTAATCGGATTAGCATCCTGTATTTTGGTCCGTAAATTTTGAAGTTTCATAAGTTTAACATGTTTTCTCCTAATAAAAATTTAACATATGACTATAGTTAAAAAGCAGAAATGAACAACTTTAAATAAGTGAAATGGGACAAACTTCTATAACCACACTCAAAAAGTAATCATATTACGAAACTAAAAAACAATAGATACACCCTGCTAACAATACTAAGTTACAACAAACTTGATCATTACTAAACAAATGGATATCTTCAAATGATCATCATAATCACAGTAAGAGAGAAGCCAAAAAAAAAAAGACATGTAAACTTGTTTGTATTATTAGAAAAAGAACAAAACAAATAGTAATGGATTTTTATCAGCAATGATAAGAAAATGCTTGGACAAAATTGCTAATCAGCCAAATCATGATCGAGTAAACAAAAGACCTAAAGGCAATTGTTGTTTTTTATTTGTACTGGAATGAAGAAGGTTTGGATCAAATGTTGGAACGAGGAGCAAAGTACTTAGTATGACGACCTTGAGCAATGATCTTAGCAGTCTTCTTCTTCCTGAGCTCAACACTCACTACTGCTACAGCTTTTCCAACACGCAATGCCTTTGATTCGATCTCTATCTCTTCCTGTTTCCAATTATTCCAAACTATCATCAATTTTGGTTTCTCAGGAAAAGAAAAAAAGAAAGATTGAGAAGAAGTACATCGAGAAAAGCAGCATCAAGGTATGAAACATTGATCTCCACAGAAACTCCGGAATGTGAAACTCCGGCTGTGTAAATCACTGCTGATCCTATCAAATCCACCAGAGTCGCCGTTGCTCCTCCGTGTAAGAAATTCCCTGCGTTCTTTCCTCACCAACAACAACCAAATTATTAGGGCAAAAGAATCGAAATCAGGCTCTAGGGATTTGTTGTTACCAGGAGATGAGGAGGGATTTTCATGGAGCAGACGATACGACCAGGTTCGATGAGATCCACTTTTAGACCATTGGTTACGAATCGCTCGAGGAATCTGTGTGGCAATTTCGCCACTTTTGATTCCTTTGCCTTTTCGTCTTCATCTCCTTCAAGATACCTTTTCACCGATTCTAGATCCATTCTTTTCTTTTCTTTTTCTTTTTTCGTATTGAGTATAATAATAATGCGTTTTATAGTTTTCTTTTTTTTAATCCCAATTTTTCATATGCTCACATTTTTTTTTTTTTGTTTACTCATTCAATAGAGAAGTGAAAATTAGACAAGAAAAAACACACATTTTATACAATTAGACAAGATCATTTAACTATATCATGTTTTTGCTTCAGACTCCAGTTTCTTTTGATTAAAAGATAAAGAGGAGTAATTATATATTTTTATTTATAAAAACTTTTAAGGGACTTTCAAGGAAAAGTTTGTCTATGCGAAAACTATCTTATATATTTTTTTAAAAAAAAAACCATTTGAAACGTAGAGGAAGACAAGAAGACAACTCTCTCTTTACACAAATTGTAATTTCATGCTTTTTTTTTTTTTTCTTTTTTTTTTAATAAAAACATTACAAATCCCCTTATCAAATCACCTTTTTTCTCTCAATGACCATTCGCTGGCCTGAACTCTTTGTAGCCATTCATACCAGACGCAAAACTTGGATTCGAAGAGTCCAAACCAAAGTATGTGTGATGGTAATTAGCTGCTGATGATGTTGCATCTTCCATCCTATTGTTCCTCATTGCTAGCAAAGACAAGTCCATGTTCGCCATTTGCCACTGTGTCGGCATCAATCCATCTGTACCATATGGTCCACGTGCCATGTAATGGAATCCTTCTTCTCCAAAACTCCTGGACCTCCCACCAGACAATAACTCACCTACATCACCCTGGTATGATGAGTACTGCCCGTTGAACACTTGGGGTTGTTGATTGAATATGCTTCCGTTGAACACCATGTTGCTGCACTGTTCGTCTTCCAGCAGATCATTGATGATGTCGAGGTGAGGGAACTCATCCGTCATCAAGCTTTGTGCTTGTTGCTGCGCGATCTGAATGTCCATGTGGTTGAGCGATCTGTTGCTAGTAACGGCCGGTGAGTAAGGGTTGTTGTTCATGCCCATGTTTACAGAATTGGAACTTCTTCCTGTCCACAAGAGCCCATCTTGACTGTAAGGGAAGCTTGACTGATAAGATGATGTCGGTGTTTGCGAGTAAGATGATGATGGCAGTGTGGTTGGGACAACTCCGTGAGAGTTTTGGTGGTGGTTGAAACTAGATGATGAACCAAGAGAGTTACCAACTATGGCATGTTTATAGGAATGAGGAGTGTATGTTTGTTGGTTGTGTAGGGATGGATCACGACCTAGACGACCAGCTGAGCTAACCGAACGAGGAAGGGATGTTGTTGCTTGAACCGAGGAGGAGACGGCAATTGGGGCGGGTTGCATCGCAGGGATTATTGGAGCACTGGAAGGCCTTGATATAGTTGTTGCTGCTGGTTGTTTTGGAGCAGATATTTTTTGCATATCAGCTCTGAGACCAGCAGTTTGCGACTGAGCATCTGAAGAAACCACTACTTGACTTGATGAAGGTGGTCCAGTTGCCAGTACTTTCCTGCTTGGAATAGCGTCTGCGGTTGAAATGCTCTTTTTCTCCGGTTTCTTCTGAGTTAATGGTGATGGATTCTTGGCAACACTTCTGGGAGAAGAAAGTACAGCAGCGCTTTTCTCTTTAGGTCGATCCATGTCGATCGAGTTCACAATGGATTGAGCCACGTCGAGTTCCTGCAAAATGAATTTGAAAAACAGACAGCTGATTGTAAAATTCTGGACCTCTTTTCATGAAGCCAATAATTCAATCAGCGATCTTCTAATTTCACACATTAAAAGCATAAACGACCAACCTTCCCAACAGGACTACGATTTCGAGAACCCTCTGCCTCCTGGACGTGGGAGACAACAACCCAATCAGATTCACCAACGTTGCTTGCCTCGGAAGAATAATTCTGACTCTTTGGGTCTTTCCCAAGTGTTGAAGGTTGATCATCTGTTTCACTCCCTAAACTGTGGGCATCAGATATTGCTTTTACTTGTTGATTCTTTCCTCTGCAAATCACAAGGTCAATCATTAAGGATTCAGAACTGACTAGAAACAAGGGTAGCCAAAAACAAACTTACCTGTTCGGCGACTTCTGGTTTCGGAAATTCAAGGCATTCCCTTGGTAGGACCCATTGGTTACCCCCGACCGGATAGAATCATTAGAACAAGTTGAAGAACTATCATCCATAGTGGACTGACTCTTTCTTTCTGCAATTCCATTGGGTGTGCCTCTTCCTCTACTGCTCCCTCCTGATGATGGAGCATGAATTTCCAATGCGTCAGTATCCCAATGAACAGAACTACTATCCCTATCTTCTAAATCAGGCTGAACAATGTCAGCCGAACCATCCACAGAATCAGATATGTCGGACACATCTCCAAGAGTATCAGGCTTTTCAGCTGAGGAGTGTGCTTTCTCCGTGACAGAATCCTTTTCTTCCTCATCGTTTTGGTTTTCCTCAAGATCCTTTTCATGTGTTGCAAAGCTCACCTTTTCTTCCTTTCTTTTGTCCTTCCCTTTATTTTTATTCCGTTTCTGTTTCGCCTATAAATGTTCAACAACCAAAGAAACTCCCATCAACATCCAACAAGTTGTACAGGACAAGCAGAAGGAGTAGAAAGTATCACACCTGTTTCTTCTTAGATTTCTTCTCTCTCTCGGCTGCTCCTTTTTTGGCCCTCTGTTCGGTTTCTGCCAACCACGCTTCCTCTTCCTCACGAATAAGTTCTTCCTGCCTTTTTAGCGCGATAGCTTCTTGATATGCAACCTCGATTTTACTGCTGCAGTTCTCAAAGATTTTGAAGTATGATACATAAGCACATCAAAGAAGAACACAATGGCATACCGTATAGGAACATATTATGCTTTGTTACCTGAAGATATGGGCAAGAACAAATATCTCCACAGTTCGTCTACCCAACTCAGTTAAACGTTTCTCATCACGCTCGTAGGCTTCCTTGTTGACCTCTTCTCCATCATTGCCATCCTAGATTTGCATCGAAAAACAAAAAACAAAATTTTCAATACAAGTAACTTTCTAGTGAATAATGCCACAAGTCCTCTGAAACGGAATAATGGATGAGACGAACGACAAAATTGAATATAAAAATGACTGAAGATACGATGACAGATAATGGAATTTGAGCCAATATTATTTATATAACCAATGAAGCCGACCTTTGTACGGTTCTGGGGACCTTTCTCCTCTTTTGGAGGCAATGGCTCAAGAGCAGCTCTCTCTAGGAGTAACAGCACATCATCAACTAATACGAACATATCTTTGTCCACGCTTACAATCGGAGCTGGCAATTCCTTGGCATCTAACAGTCTTGGCCTAGCTTTCGTGTTCTTAGTTTGGCCTTCAAGAGCCTTCAACCCACTATACAAGGAATCCATCACCAAAGTGGATGTAACTTCTTTTTCTACGAAAAAGTGTTTTACAACTCCTTTTAGGATTACGTCCATTTTCTCTCTAGACATCCGACGCCTAGAGTTTTGGTCCATCCCTAACCAGAAAACACCGAAGCTGCAACCAAGAAAATATATTTTAGGCTCAACTGTCAGAGAGAACGATATCACAGGAAATATAATAGTAAGGCAACAGTACTATACTAGATTGGTGTAAATCCTGGCCTTCAACAAGTGTGTTGAATTAAAGAAAAATTCCCACATCCTCTTTTAGGGATTTTCCGTCTCAGCATCTCAACCTTGGCTATCAAGACTTGTAAATCAGAGATAGTGGAGAGCCACAGGCACCAAATAAAAGTTTAAACTACAGGAATTTATTTTGGAGTCCAAACGGATGGTGGAAATTGGAAAACAATTTATTCTAACATAGCATGGTTTTCTCAAAAGAAGAGGTAATCACATCTACTTCCTGCTCACTTATCATCAAAAATAGCAATGCACTATGATCCCATCTCTGAAATCTGGAGGAGTTAAAAGGTACAAGATGAAATGTGAAATACCTTGTCCATCTTGCCTTGTCCTCTATCAACCTCCCAAGCTTGCTTCTTCTCTCTTCAACAAAACGTCGGCAATTTTGATCCACATTTGGCAAATACACCCTAATAAGTTCTCTCCTATAACTACAATCAAGGCAGCGAAAAGGTCTGTCCACCCTCTCTCTGCAAGGACCAATTATAGGGATATTATTCACAATGCATAATCACTCAGTGATACCGAAGAAATGAAAGACTATAATCTTATCACATGTATTTAATTGGAGAACATATGAACATGTGGAGCTATAAGCGAATGGCAGCATGTAAAAATGGACGGTGTGGTAAATATTTAACTCATAGCTTTATATAGTGTCAATCCTGCATTACCTGATCACCTGAACTTGAGCCTCAATTGTAAGACAGCCAGAATCATCTATGAACCCGTCCTTTAACTTAGGTAACTCCATAAACTTTTTCCATCCCCAATCATGCTCTTTCTTCCAAAACCGGTGCAGTGTATCTGTAAGAAGTGAGTTCAGTTGTCTGCATATTTAAACGGGGCAAGTAAATTAAGACTCAAAAATTCACCTGAAAACTTCGTTTTCTTTAAATCTTTATTCAACACAGATATAGTAAACTGAGCGAAATGACTCCAGCCTGCCTCCAAGATAGCAAAAGAACCTACATGACCAAGTATCCAGAGAGAGAAAAGGGAGCATGAAGACCAATGAACAAAAATACTAACCTGGAAGAAGTTTATCATAGTTTGCAACACAGAGAAACAAGGAGAGATGATTACAAACATCACATCCTTGTGGATAAATTAAAATATACCTACACATTGAAGACAAATAGAACAAAACACAGCCTCAACAATCACATCCCAATTTTATCAAAAAAAAAAAAAAACACAATCACATCCCAAGTTTTTATTGTGAGACAAGATATAAGGATGAGAAAGATAAACAGATGCCATGTACCATTTGTAGCCGCCAGCTTCAAAATTATCGCTACGATGCTCCCTTTTATTGATTTCTGAAAATTTTGGAATCTTCCAAGTATATTTTCCAAATAACTCAGAGGGTTTAAGGCCTGGGAAAAGATAATAAATTTCACATTAAACAGCTGAAACACACATCAAGAGTATAATAAAGTACAAAATCAAACAAAGAAGGAG